ACTTAATTTCTACTTGAATTATCTTATTTGCTTGCCGATACGTTGATAAATACAAATTCTTTAAATGAGGAACTTGTACGTGAACTATTTCCCTCTCACAGGTGTCAGTGTCGAGGATTTTGCAAATTTAGACATGATGCGGAAATATTTAATGATAACGAAGCTATTTATTTGATTATATTTATATTATTGATAAAGGTATTTAAGTGAAACACTTGTCATGATATGGTAAAAAGAATCCTCTTGTTTTTATTTTTACATATTCTTATATTTCATTATTATATCAAAAGTTATTAGATTAAAGACTAGGGCGATGTAACGTGCGAAATAAATAGCAATATTGTGATTGGCTGACATGGCGTTTTACTTTTGGTCGATTTATGAACCATCAAAATTGTATAGCAACTGTCAAGTTGTTCTTAGTAGTCAGTATCAAATTTATTTTTCAATTCAATTTCAAATCTATCTTGAAAAGGTAATCAAAGTTATTTTGTACTTTTTTTTCTTTTGAAGTTTCTCAACTGTAAAAATGTCATAAATTATACTAAAGTTCAAAAGAAATATCATTACGGAGATCAGAACTCTGGCGGCGAAATTCATAAATACGTTATTCATATCCACTGCAACGCGTTCGAAAGAAAATATTTGGGTATTAGCTTAATCCCAGGTTTCGATTTGGTAATTGTTTAGATAGCTAGCAAACTTTAGATAATGTTGATGTATTGAGTTCGGGTCGAAAGCTGAGTAGGGCTCTCCAAAAAAGGGAGATATTAGGTTTTATCTTTTTCAATTTAAAAGTGTGTGACCGCTAATTGTCAAGTGTCACGTTTCAAACAGAGAAACTATTTACGTTTAACATAACCTTTCACCTCAGCCTAGGACTCCAGTAGCAAACGATGGTTTAGAAACCAATCAACATCTAAATGTTTACTTTATACATCCAGATTAAAAAAAAAATGTATTTAAAAGTAAAATGTTATCAAGTGAACAAAGAAAGCTATTTACACATTGCAAACGGCACAGATCATCTACGAACATAACCAAAAAGGCGCCATAATATGCAAAAATAGTGCGTTCATCATGCAGTAGAAATATGGTGATAAATAGTGAAATACTGCAAACAAGTCTAACATATAAATTATTTCTTCAATTGCGTTTTTTTTTGTTTTTTGTTTTGTTTTTTTTTTTTGTTTTTTTTTTTTTACTTTTCTTAAAATCTTTTTACAATTTTCTTGAGGTTGATTTATTATGAAATTCTTTTCTCATCTGAGGACATGTAGCGTCTCAACTTAATGTATAGCACGCTTTGAGTGGTATATTATGTCAAATAATGTCATATTCAGTTCTACTTCCTTAAGGAAAGAACTTCTGACTTATGTTTGCCTTTTCTATAAAACATATAAAAACATCAATCGTTTCTCAGGCAAAATATGTCTAATTGCAGGGCGGAAAAGAATATATATTATAAATCTCAGCATGCTCCAATCAGGCGTTAACACTCTGTGGTGAAAGGCAGAAATATCATGATAAATTGAACTCATTTTTTCAACTTCCTTTTCTACTCAATTTATTTTTATTTTATAAAAAATCTGATACATACAATCACAATCAAGGAACATATTAATTATTTTCCTCTGTCTGTTTAATGCTTTATATCGTGCATTGGTTTTTCAAAAAAAAACATCCGATACGGAAAATTGATTGGAAATTTTGAGAACTTTATTATGGGAACTTTTCACGTGCGGTACTGCGAGTAATGCAAAACAAAATGCGAAGAAATATAATAATCGTCATCGTTAAAAAAAACTATATAATCTTCAATGGTAACTGTAATATTGTTTTTGATGTTGCCTTTATCATTATTATCATTATCATAATCACCATCACCATCCCCACAATTACTTTGGAAAATCTACAAAATATCAACATTTCAATAATTAAATCATTGCGATGAACAAATTTAAATACATAAGTGCAATACATAAACACTATGTATCTGAATGGTTTATTTCAAGTTTACTTTATCAATAACTGCTCAAATATCACACGTAAAGCCTTGGTACGGTTTCATACGTCAATAAAATAAGTTTGATATCGCTTGGGGGATTTAAATTATTATTATTTAGTGTCATTATTATTTTATTTGTATTATTATTCTTATTAGTTTATTCTTAGAAGTAGTATGAGCGTTATTATAATAACTATTTCATTATCATCATATCATTATTATTACTAATAGATTGATAAGATTGATAATTGTTTCGGTTGTCGTTTTCATTATTTCTATTATTTATTATTATTATTATTATTATCATTAATATTATGATCATTATCATAATTATTATTATTATTATTATAATTATCATACAGATAAACAATTGTTAACGTTATGATATTTATTTATGTATTTATTTATTAGTTTTTTATTTATTTAGATATTTATCATATCAGATATACAGCACAATTATTATCTAACGTATTTATTGTTGTTTGTGTTACTCTAGTTTTGCTTTTATAAAAGCAAACAATTATGACTACACACATCACCTCAACTATAATGTAACGTAAATATCTTATACATCATAATCCACTTATATCTCCTTGTTTGGGTGTTTATCTTTTAAAATCGTTTTGTCTAAACAATCTGTGTTTAATTTGGAACGCAAAGAATGAGTTTGGTATTTAAATGTTTATCGATAACAGATATAGAAAAGGCGAGTCAACAAAAATGTGTCATTGAAGAGATAATATCTCGGCAGGGGGTACTGCCAGCTAGGATAACCTCTCGTATCAAATGAATATCTGTATTGATAAAGCGTGCATCACTGTGTTGCGTTTCTACGAGATGAAATCCGTTAATACCTTTTCAAATTTAAGGACCATCTTTTCTTTATAGATTGATTGCTATGTAAATATTAAGATAACGATATAAAGGAGCTACTGTGTACTATCTTTAATACAATATACAAAGATATTTGGGTTGTCAATAAGGATAAGTGCGTGATAACACATCAGCGTATGTCATATTGTTAGTTCATTTAAGTGCTTAAACTAAACAGAGAAAGGGAAGTAACTCAAATTACGCTAGTTAACTTTAGACAAGTGTTTAAATTAATACACAAATTTAATAAGTTCAATTAATCAAAACGCTTTTCTTAGGTTTAATCACTTAACTTTTTTGTTTGTTTGTTGTTGTTTTTTTTTTTTTCTTCAGAATATTTTAATTATACACATAAAATAAGGTGATATAAAACGTGATAGTCCATAGCCACAATTATCGGTATATCATTCGGAAAACATCGTTTATTATCCTTGATTACTTTAAATGAAACGAAATTTGCACTTGACCGCAGAAGTAAACGAATTCAGAAAATAATTATATGAATGAAAAAAAAATCAAATAAGAAGTTGTAAACATAATCACCCATGCATTTGTAAATCAATCATATTCCTTCCTTACATAACCTATGACCAATGAAATAGATGGACGGTTATAATAAATATATTCAGATTTTAATACATACTGTCCAATTGTTTCTCTGTGCAATTGACTTATAAAGTATCATTATCAAATTATTGCAATAAATTTCTTTTTCTTTTTCACAATCAACGTAGAAACGATTCTTTTTTTGATAAATGAAAACATATTGAAACATACTGTCTACAGAAATAAATATCATGCCTTAGATTACCTTTTACTTAACGTATTATTATTTTTGTTTTTCTAATGTAGATTTTTAGATTTCTTCTTTTTTTCACATTCAACGAAGAAACGATTTTATTTTGATAAATGAAAAAAATACTTGTTTAACTTGACGTAATATTCTTTTTGTTTTTTTCTTATGTAACCGTTGTTTATTCTGACAATCATGACGATCTGAGATATGTTTGTAAAAGTGTTGTTTTTTTAAATTTATATTTGTTTTACAGTTTCGAAAAATAAAATAAATTAAAACAAAACATATAAAAATCGAAGGGAGATAATCCTTTATAAAATATACCTTTAAATATTCTGATGAAACTACTGTAGACTTTATTTGTATCTAACATTGATACGTCGTTTTGACATTTTTGTCGATGTGTCGAAGTAAAAAGCAAGAACGATTTTTTTTCCGATATTTAATTTTATAAGTCTATATAACCTTGAGTTATTTCGATGACTACAATTTACCATTTCTAAGTCAAAGCTCTCCGATTATCTTAAACCTTTGATCTTAAGATATTCTACGCATTTTTTCTCGCCGCGATGATGGATGCCTCAACAAAACTAACATAAATTATGAATAAAATATTTATAACATAACTGTTTGATCACGAAACCCGCAATGAAGCTAATATGGATTATGATCAAAATATTTATTTGATAATTTTTTTGGACCATGAAAGCATAAACAAAGCTAATATGGATTATAATTAATATAATAATCAGATTATTGATGGACCACGAAAGCATAAATAAAGCTTATATTAATTATGATTAAAATAGTTATTGGATAGTTGTTGGATCACGAAAGCATAATTATATTAACAAAACTTATATAGATTATAATTAATATATTTATCAGATAATTCATTGGAACACGAAAGTATTATAAAAGCTTGTATGGATTAAAATTAATATAGTCAATAATAACCAGTACCGTTGGCCTAGTGGTTAAGGCGTCCGCCTTAATCGGGATATCGAAGGTTCCAGCCCCACGCGGAGTGTTAATTGAAAGATGAATGTTTCTCGTGGGACTCGTTTCGAAATGGCCGCGAGGTAGTTAAAAGTATGGTTACCGATTTCTATCCGCCTGGCGCCTGTCAAAGTGGAAGGGGTTGGGAGGTACATGGTATTCAAGCAAAAGGTATCTCATAAGTCAGAAATGGCTGGCCCTTCCAGTAGGGGTGACACTATAATAAACAAGACCTGTACCTTTTTTAGTAATCAAATAATTGTTGGACCACGAAAGCATAAACAAAACTTATATGGATTATTTTAAATATATATTATCAGATAATTGTTTGACTATGAAAACATAAACAAAGCTTATATGGTTTATAATTAATAAATTAATTAGATAATTGCTTGACCATGAACGCGTTAAAATAGTTTTTTTAATGGATTCTTATTTATATATTTATCAGATAACTGTTGACCTTTGAAATCTTAAACAAAGCTTATATTGATTATAATTAGTATACTTAATAGACAATTGCTGGACTATGAAGCATGAATAAAGCTAATACGGGTTATAATTAATATATCAATCAGATAATTGTTTGACCACAAACTCATTAACAAAGCTTATATTGATTTTATTTGAAATAGTTATTAGATAATAAAAGAACCACAAAAGCCTTAACATAGCTAATATGGATTATGATTAAATATTTAATTAATATGAATTATTATCAAATGAAATGTTTAGAGGAACTCCACTGGGGTCCAAAGGCCTAAAAACAAATCACCTGGGATACTTAAAACAGAACGATATGAGAAATGTTATCAAGTAATATACAACAAAATTTAATTGAAAATTGTGTTACTCTTTTTGCCATTCTTAGAGTTGAGTGAAAAGCGTTGCGACTCGTGCCTTATATATGAATATATTTTACAATTAATTTAAAAATCATTGTTCTTGAAAAACGGAATGACCGAATGTGATGAAATTTTGGACAGAAAAAAATATGCCAAGTACTGTTAGCCAAAACCCCTCATTGGAGTCCCTTTAACCGAAATTATAGTACTACAACGAATTCAACAACAAAATCTGCATTATGATTAAACGTTTTATCCGATATTAACAGGTCAATTTATCCGATAATTACAGGTCAATTTATCCGATAATTACAGGACCACGAAAGCATGACTGTGAACATTCGGCCGAGTAATCCCTTGCATCACAGAATGTTGCGTTACAGATTATGTCTAAGCCTTCGTCATTTGTTAGATACTCAAAGTCCGTGAAGACAAAACTTGTTTCATGCGTTGACTGGGATATAATGTGTGTACTACTGTCGACCTCGCAACTGTAACGATAAAATAAAAACATTTTAAAAATGAATATAATTATATGTTTACAACGCATTTGATTTTCTGTTATTCTCGTGGAAACATTAATGAAATAGACAAATGATTAAAAATGATGACAGGTGTACAAATTATATGAAATCACATATTATACATGAAAAAGAATAGCTCGTATATATTCTCGTTTAAACTTCCAAAACACATAGACAAATGAGTAGAAAATGATGACAAGTGTACAAATTATGTAAAGTCATCTATTATTGATGAAATAGATTAGCTTTTTCATGTATGTAACATATTTTCTATTAATCTTTTACTAAATGGTAGAAAATTGGTAATAAAAAGAGTAAATTTTATCAGAGTTTGCATTTAATATTTCAAGTCGCACGTTGATGTTAGATATTTGGCATCTGGATATCGTAGATGTTTTGAATGATATACATCTTGGAATGATAAAGGTTAATTACAGAAATGACTTAAACACTTAAAAAAGGAATCTCTATTACCTATAACAGATGATGTTTTATTGGTTTTTTCTCAAAAATTTAACTAGCAGTATTTTAATGACCATTAGTATACATAATATGATTACAAAGAGGGTTTTAAAAACGTAACACTACTATTGGTGCTTAAACGCATATTTTTCAAATATGAAACTTGAATCGATTTCAAGTTTGGCGAATTTTGAAAGGTTTATGTTACTTATTTAGAGGCATGTCGCTTTAAATACTTTTAAAGGAAGACATGAAATATAGCAGTTACCCATTGCTTATTAATATGATATCTTTATCGTTTGTTGCATTGGCGTTTGGTTTTGTGAAGCACGTATGAAGTCGCATCTTTGTATTCCAATCGGGAATATTTGTAGACACCTTCACATACACGTCATCCCCAACATGTATGTTACTGCCCTCTGGAATAATGGGGTTATGAAAACCCCTGTCACTATAAAGCTGCACGGTGACATTGTAATGTTTAACATAAGTTGAATGGTGCGTCTCGATGCCGTGATGTAAAATGTGACGTCCCTGTTCCACCTCTGATGACGTCACATTCCACAATGAACGTCCAAATGTGACGTCTAATAAGGAATGGTATCACAGGATAAAAAACATCACGTAAAGTAATTTGTTGCTGTAAATATGCGTTATACTTGAAGTCTAAAAATAAAAATAAAACACTGATTACACATCGAGTCTTGTTATATACGGAATGTAGCATATCTATAAGTGTATCTTCCTCCTAAAACATAGTAATGTTCAGAACTAGAGAAAAACTTAAAAACCTAGTTGGAAAAGATAGCTGACAATGTTTGTTTAACCACTATTTATTATATGTGGGAAAATAGCAATTAAGTAAGAATTAAATATAAAATCAAAACTATAGTTCAATTTTACAATGATGATCTTGATCGATATATCATTCACATTTGGACTGGTATAAAAGCAAATTAGCTTATCTGTAATAATTTAAATATTTTTATGTATTCTTGTAAATTTTATATCTAAGTTCCAAAATATATGAAGATATGTTTGTTAATTTCAGATATGGTGCGCTACAAATGTAAAAAATAATGGCAGAACATGTTTAGTATTGCAGCTATTTTACACTTTATTATGTGTTATGATTCTAATCAATGTTTGTCAAATAACATATTATACCTTTTCTTAATCTCTATCAAAAGAGGCAACAAGAATACGATTATTGTCCTAAATGTTCTTATTCTCATTTCGCCAGCATTGCAATGTTTGAATAATGTAAAATAATAAATGTATTAAGTAAATGTAAGTGTTTTCAGTTGAAATATAAACAAATACATTGTATACATGTTATTCAAGATAAAGTACACCATGAAATGAATTTTGTACCATATCTGCAGTTTTACAGCTATTTATGTTATACTGGAACTTTAGTAGAGACCCTTCCAGCTTTTTCCAAGACATTTAGATTCTCCTAGGAAAATATCAGCGGGTTTAATGGCTGGATATTTCGCTTGAAGTATGTTCATGTCGACTTCAACATCCCATTGTGAATCTGAACATTTAACTTGAACAGCGTCGTCAACAGATCCTGTAACGACATTTAATGAAGTAATTAACCCAACTATTTATGTTTTAATCATTTCAACTTTCTAAATGATTTAAGATTTACACTTCATGACGGAATTCAAGATACGAGCTTCACGTGAAATAAGAATTCGTAAAATTTTAATCGTGAGTTCGTTTAGACGAATGCGACTGCAGAACAACGGTATCTATATATATACACAACAATTTCATTAAAAGTAGTAGTATCTTTATTTACACCTCATCATTGCATATACATGATAAAAACATCCATGTATATTTAAAAACAAAATATGCAGAAGCAACGATTGAAAATATGTCCGTCTTGACCTTTCATTTTAGTTTTTTTTTTTTTCAGATTAATATTGACATTTTAAGATTATATCCCTTCAGCAGTAATTATAAAATGCATGGTTTGGTTACCTACCACTATAAAACAAACAAAAGTGGATGCAATATTATATAAAAACTATAAATCATTCTGACTGTTTCATGTCTATTCTTTCTCTTTTTTTTTTGGTGGGGGTCTGTTTGTTTTCTTATGCCTGATCTAAAACAACGATGTATGTTTTTGATGGCCATATTTGATAGCTTTAGAGATAATAAAAAAAAGTACATTACCTTATTTTGACACAGGAGGTGCCAGTTTTATCACTAAGTCTTTGGAATCCCGGAGCGCATAAACATGACGAATTTCCCAAAGTATTCACACAGATTTCTGTACTTCCACACACTCGAATTCCCCTACTGCATTCATCAATATCTAAAATATATTGAAATTAATGTAGTGACAGCTCATAATTACCCTTGCATTTTTTCTAATATCTAAAATATATTGAAATAGAGAAAATTGCGCTACAGAAATCCCTAAAGAAAAACCCAAACACGAACAAAATTGAAAATGTTTCAGGCTCGGTTTTGATTGAGCCTGTTTCATGGAGGTACTATGGAAAGTGCAAGTTAACCCGTATTTACATCTCAATAATTCACAACCCTTTGATTTTTTTCAATTAATAACAAAAGTCAATAGCGATTATCTTAATTTCCACAAAATTGTTATACTAATTTTTTAAAATTAGTAGAAATTGGCCAAAATTGACAAAAACCACAAAGGGATTTAAAATTATCGCGTTATTTAATTAAACACAACAAATTAAATCAATTTCAAGCTGTTTTTTACCTTAAACTTATTATGAAGCTATCGGGCAGAAACTTTTTTTCAATTTTTCATGAAGGGAATTGATTTAAGTCAGAATTATGTATACAAATCTTGATAATGATCGACATGATGTAAAGTTAAAGTTACAAAATACATTGATAACATATCTGTTTATCAATAAATCTATCGCTTTTAATACCATCACATGAATGGCCATTTCGATTTAATTCATATCCATTGAAACAGCTACACATAAACGCTCCATCGGTATTTGTACAACTCTGCTCACACTTATCAGGTCCAGAATAAACAACACTGCATTCGTCAATATCTATTAAACAGTGGATAAACATTCAGGATAACGAAATAAATATTTAATTGGTATTGCTAATTGTAATGATGTAAATTCGTCAATATTACCAAAAACATAATATATGGGAAATATAAAATGAATATAATAGAATGTGTTCATATGATACACCTTACTTGTAGTTGATAATGTTTAAATTACTTTGTGTTTATTTTCTTTCTGAAATATTATACAAAGCTTACGTTTAAAACATCATTTAAAACATTATTCAAAAACAAACGAGATAAATGTTTTATGATACGGTGAGAAACTAATAAATATATATTTCTTAATGAAAAAATACAATACCTATAAGCATTAAAAAGTATAACCCTATCATTTATAAGGTTGGTCCTTTTAGTGAGTAAAATATGTCTAAAGTTTTATAAAGTGACAATTATATCTACCTACCTCATTTGGTAAATAAAACAAATGGTATTCTAAACTACTTCAATATCAAAATAAAAACAAATATTTTGAACAAATGACAATACATTCTTTCATCAATTGTGTACTTGTGTTCGTAAAGGGGCGGGGAGCATGACCAATTATATAAATAAGGCAGTTGTTAAACAAAGCATATGTTATATACAATATGTGATTCAGAAACAATTACCTGTGCATATCTGATTATATCCATGCATCGAATATGTTCTTCCCTTTGGACAAGGGCTACATGGCCACGAAGGCTTTGATCGGTAAGCCATTACATTACAATCATTGTAGCAGTGATAGTTTGGACAAACATCTTTGATTTTTTCGCAATACAATCCGCTAGTGTAGCCTGGACAATCGCATGAAGCTTTTACTACAGTATCTGGATAAAAACGTCAGGTAAGAGATAAATTCATGTAACTAGTTTTTGCAATAAAATGTTTTACTTCGAACTTCATGTAAATGGTAGTAAGTCAAATTTCTTTGTTTTTAATTTATTTTTATTTATTTAAAAAATGTTGGGGGGAAAGCATAGACAAAATTGAGCATAATTACCTGAAGGATTGTCAGTAGAATCATTAAATAAGCAAAACGAAACTTCACTACATCCACAGTAGTTGATTGAAAAACTGAAAACACTGCTAGTATTAAATTTGTCGTATACGGTGAATTGCATGCCGGTGTCTATTTCTCGTAAACCAGTGCCAACGTTCCATGTAAAAATTCCATTGTCTGAAAGACCAAGTATTAACGATATAGTTAAAGAAGCAGGAAATTTATTATTTTCTATTCTCTACAAACATTGTGGCCTTTGGTACATTTAAGTATGTGTCAGAAAGATGCAAATCCATCCGAAAATGTCAGTCCGGGCTTATATGGGATTTGAACTAGAATCCTTCCGCTTTCAACCGAATGTAACAACGCTCTAAACCATTGAGACAAAATTCAATTGCAAGAAGCAGTTGTTAGCTGTTTTCTTTAAAGTTATTATGGCAGTGGTGCACTCAACCATCACATATATATTTGACATAAAATATTTGACACGTTTTCGTTTTAATATTCTGTCCGTTGCATCAAAACATTTTATATATTAAAATGCTGCTGTACAATATTTCTTTTAATTCATTTTGTTTTTATTTATAATGGCCTAACATCATTCTGTTTGTAAATCCGTTTTAATGAATAAAGTTTATTCTGAGAAAGGTAAATAAAAAATACTTATTGAATATTCATTCTTCGTTAGTCCTGTGAAAACATCGAACACGAGATTTTCCGGGGGTGTATTATCATCGGTAACATAATCAGTAAGATTAATTGTCCATGTTGAGTTGATACTGACAGTGATTCTTTCTGGAAAGTTGGGTGATACTAATGGAGTTCTATTATCTGAAATAAATATAAAGAAAAATCAGGTTAATTATATAAATAAATCAATGGACGTCTTTCAAAAAAGCTAGATAATAAATAATTATGCATAGGTAAATAATGCATTATTTCATGTATTTCATCACCTGTTCTGGGGGAAATGTATTTAATGTAAACGAAACTTAAAGATACTAAATGTCTAGGTTTCTGAATTGACTGACTCGACATTTTAATACAAAATATTTCAGAGTGTTATATAAAGCTCGATAGTTACACTTGAGTTTATTTTGTTTTACTTCAATCAACCCGCAGAAAAAAAGTCGAAACAGCTCCGAGATATAATTCTATCACAAGAATGTAACAAACTTACTCAATAAAAACGATATTACAATAGTGTAATAAAACTTTGACGTGACGTCATTTGCGTTATATACAATCATAGCGTAAAAGCTAGTGATGGAAATCAGATGAAATTTGTCCCAATCGGTTTAATCAGATGGGACATAATCGATAACTATTCGAATATAGTCGCGTTAAAAAGAAATAGGGAAGTAACATTTCTTCCTAAGGCACTTGATTATATTCAGTAACATGAACTTCATTTAGCACTTTTCAACAGTATTAACCTTATATAGTCATAATTTTACGAAATATATTTTTTTTTCAATTGATGTCAAATAATATTTTTACATACACATCACATTATATTACTATTGTTTACATCACTTATTGATCCTGTTCAACTCCAAATTGTCTCTAAGATGATTTTTTGCGATCGGCGAGGTGTTCCTTAAAGAAAATTACCGTCAGAATTAGTTCTCTTTGATACTTTAAACATTTTCGACGACGCGGAACAAATTTTTATGAATCGATTATTGTCGCTTTACGTAACAGTAACTGATTATCGGCGACTTGCGACAATCGAAACATCACTAGTAAAAGCACGCTAACGTTAGCGTTACATTTATACACCTCTATGAAAAATGACGCTAAGCTATAAACCGTTGTCAGTTTAGGAATGTGATAAATACAATATTATATTCGTGTAGATTCAATACTTGATTTATTGAATTGTTGCATACAATATCATACTCACGTGAGGTACGCATAATATGATTGTATTTAATCGTTCAATATATGTATTGTTAAATCTACACTCATTCAATATCCTTTTATGAGTCATGTATATGTTGTCATACATGACTGCAAAGTCAAAACAAATACGTTATTCTTTTGTATTGTTCAGCACTATTTCGCCTGTCTTATTAAAAGAATAATAAATTACTCGATAGTGGCGTTTTGTAGTTGAAAGACGAAACAAAGAAAATAATATCATTTATACAAAAATAAATCAATAACAGTCATTATTAAATAACTATACGTTATAAGTCCTATAAAAACACCTGTCACGTTCAATAACACGATGACCTGCCTTAAAACATTGCCAATATCTATCCCCGGAGTGATATAGATATAAAGTAATTTGATTGGCTAACAAAGCTGGGCCAAACAATAATATAGATTTCTGCAAAAAAAAACTGGGAAATGGGAGCCATTTTATTTTAACTCGGTCTGTGTAGACGCCGACAGTTTGCATAAATGAAAGTGTAGTTATTTTTACAGTTGTTCTTTGTTATAATTCAAATATGTAAGAATTAAAATAAGAAAAAATATCAGAGGATAAAATGTGAAATAATAAAGATACATGTAGTTATTTATTAAAATTGTCAATAAATAATTGATTTGATATTGGTCCTGTAATTTGTCCTCGGGTAAGTCGTATTAGCCTTTAGCCTTCGGCCTTCAGCAAATATGACTACCCTCGGACAAATAACAGGGCCAATATCAAGTCACTTATTTATTAACATATATCACAAATAACGTTACCCGACTGTACAACATAGATTTCCTTATTATAAACTTTAAAACACTCATTTTACATTTTCTTTGGAAAAATATTGATAGGTTTTGGTGCGCATGAAAATTTTATGACACATTTCTGGCGTCTCATACTTCAGAAATAAGAAAAATAAATACATTTTAAAAAATATATTTTCAATTAAAAGTTATCATTGCGTATGTAAATTAAGACTATATCAATAGGAGTTGTATTATTTGAAAAGAAAAATATTACGAAGTATTTCCCATTTGTGACGTGTTGCATTTGCCTCTTTCATTACATCTAATCCCAGGTCATAATCCCCTGTCCTTGCAATGACGAGAAGGCACAGATTATTGGGTTCCTTGTTCCAATAATTTCTACAAGTCTTGTTGAAAAGTGAAATATTTTCTGGCCGAAAGCTTTCGAACAATGCTGTCAGGTTGCCAAGTTTGTCTTGAAGAAACTCTGGACATGTATGATGTGTGTTGTAAATTGTAAAATTTCCGCCAGTCTCTTTATACATGAATACACTCTCCCAATTATTCCGTAATGACCCTAACAATAAATAAACAAAATGAAACACGACAAGAATGTAGCTTCATTTAAGACAATTATACTCTACATAATTGACTTATACGCCATAATTTCTAGCGATATAAAGTTTCATTTGGTTCATTTTTGTTTAGTTAGGATCTATACTTCTGGCTATTCTCATATAAACCTTTTTGTAAATGAGAGCAATTGTGCAGAAATGTTGCAATCATTAACACTGATGGAAACCAATTGTATGATCCTCTGTTAGTTGTCTTTATTCAACAGCATTTAATGTGTAACTTGTGCAATGTATATTTTTTCAAACAACCTAACATCAGTAACTAATCAAACTGTGATATTGAAATATTGCTAACTTGAATATGTCAAGATATTAGATAATACATATTTCCATGTTATTTTAAAAAATATACTGTATGAATTACATACAAAATATCATTTAGTAAGGTGCTAATAAAAATGTTTATATTATGTTAAATCCATGAAACATTGTTTTATGTTGACTATTTCGATTTCTGCTTTGATCATTTATCATCTATAATGATAACATATGATATTTTGTATGAACTACTGCATTTTTTTTTTTTGCAAAATCATTATTATTTTCTGTAAAAGTCTTTTTTTGTAAATAAAGTTCTAATTTGACTTTAATAAGGGCTTTGTAGGAGATAATAAGTCATAAACAGAAATAAATGTGTCACAATTCGACTTTTGCCCAATTCAGAAGCTGTTTCCGTATGAATTCAACAAATTAAATTTGAAAACATCACTTCTACAGCAAACACGTTTCCATGAGCACATGTACTTTCCTGTATTTTTAAAGCTTAATTCAACGTATGAAACAGAGGCAAAATTATGCAACTACCTGATACTTATACAAGGTAACAACTTCAATTTTATTTTTGACAACCTGTAAATAACTTCATTAAAGCACGAGCTCTTACGCGCGTAAATGTCGCACACAACTTAATTGTGATGTTAAAATACTTAGTTAAGTGCATATATGGTCTGAGAGACTAGACTTGGATGAAGGGGCTATATAAAATGCTTTAAAAATATCAGTAGTTCAATTCTTTTAAATCGGGGTCTATAAAGAGCTTTGTGTTTTAATAGCTACTTAAAAACTATAACTGAAAAAACTGAAGTATATTATGCCGTTCAACGATATATAGTGAGTGAACAGGAGCATATCGATATACGAATATATTTTGCAGAGATTACTTTCAAATGTAGTATTAACTTCGCATGAACAGCTGGCATGGTGTTATGAATTTTCTGTCAATATCCGTCGGTATTTATCCGGGCTGTTATGCTCATAATAAAAAGTGAAAGAAATTATATGTTCCCCTTTATCAAATCCTGTATTATAATCAACAAGAACTAAACTAAATTACATCACAATGTCCGCAATGTGATACACTTGGTTTCCATATAGTGTAATATAAACATACAAACTTGTTATTTAAATTATATATAACAATGTAAATTCAGTTGTTTATTATTTCTTTGAAATCTAGATATCTATATATAAACGGTTCTGTTGTAAAGTATTTATACCATTTTTAAATAAATATATAATGTACATCAACATGTTTATAAATTAGAATAATCAGAAACAACGTACACGATTCTGCAAATTGGAACAATGATAATGCAGATGCATTTTCAGAAACTTTTGTGTTGTTACTCATAATGTAGAAACCATCCTCCCGATGTCCTGCTAGGCCAGTAATGTTTGTTATATTTGCCCTAGAGTCTCTGATGATCTGTATGCTCAGGAAATTGTCAGTCCCAAACACAAGCTACGGTTAAACACAGAAATAAAAAGAAAACGCACACTTAAAAAATACTCCCTCTAAAATCCAATACAAGACAAAAAAATGTTGAAAAAAGTAATTTGACAACAATTCTTATTAAATATTAGAACGAACCAAAACATCAATCATTTCACTTACTGGAACTAGTTAGACTGATGTTATTAGAGTAAGCATGCTCTAAGAAGGTCAATCCAAAAATCTGTATGATGTAGTCACTTTCATCATCCGACATTTACCTTCTCTTATTATTCTTATTTTTATCTCTGGTGCTTTAAAATTAAGCTTTAATTCAGACATTTCTTAACAAATTGCTTTTTGTTCCTTTATTTTACTCTTTTCAATATAATGAAACACCTTTTACGTTTATTATTATGAATGAGTGTACAATTACAAGAAATAAAATTAAATAAAAATCAACCTCTTAAAATATCAACTTCATGCAAATACCTGTTTGATGTAAGATTTGAAACCACAGTTTTGTATAATTATTTTACCACCACCAGCTATCACAAAACAATTATGTTTTAGACGAAGTTCGCAAGGATAAGGTCGTCCATGTCCTAACATTGATGATGCAGAACAATTGCTCTTATATGTACCATTCCTAAACAGTCTGATATCATCTGCTTCCCGATCATAATGGAGCTCTATTTGCTCGTGTGACGTTTTATCCTGGAATATAAATGTACAAAAATAAACGAATGACAGATTTTGTAAATATTTCTGTCAACATTTAGTCTCGCAAGTTAAACAAACATGATAATGTGAGTGTGTTTTCATAGATATGCACACCAGACTGACAAAGTCGTGTTTTATGTCAATTAAAAAAACAACAATAAAATTCGAAAATGACAAAAATTGTTTGCAACGTAGACACATTTACATGGTAATGCTATATTACACAATGGACGACTCATAATAAATGAAATGTTGAGAGTGTGGTATAATGTTATAACAACTATCATTTTTATACATGTTTGATAGTTTTATGTCAATTTAAGTTGATGTTAGTAAAATAAGCCTATTAAACAAAAAGGAACGAAGCATTACAAACTGAATTAATCTATACATTGATGTGTATACATAAAATGTACAGGCGAATATTTATCAAAATTCTACAATTTGAATTGACTTGGGTAGCCTTTATTTTAGATGAGTCGATGTGTTTAGATTTAAAATTAAATTCAAAGAACGTGTTTTGTGAAATCGTTTCATGCGAGCCTCTTGCGAGCATAATATTGCTTTATTCAACGATTTCAGTGTAATTATATATTACTTAATCTGCTCGAATATATCATACATCACGTATCTAAAATGAGAAAGTTTTCAAACTAAAAAGATTCATCTTTCCTTTACTCTCTTATAGTGAAAATGGTAATTTTCGCACACTTTTAACACTTTTTTTGAAATAACGCAAATGGCGTCACGTCAAAGTGTTATGACAAAAGTGTAATATCGTTTATTTTAGATTCGAACATTACACTCCTGCGTCGTGGTTATAGTGATAAATTGAAAAAGGATCGCTGGTAAGAAAGGGCTATACTTACAAGTAAGGCAAAAGCAGAAAAATATGTTGAATCAATGTTTCCAGTCAAAACATAATCTGTTCTAGCTTGTATTTCAAAATTACTAAAACGAAAATTGGAGAAAATACAAAAAAATGACTTCGTCTTAATGAAATTCAAAAGACATAGTAAAATGGTCCGTGTTCTGCTTGGATCTTTGCCGGTAGCCATTTCTTACTGAATCGTGTTGAGCTTCTTTGTTGATCGTGTATTTCATATTTTACATGTTTTTATTCGCTCTAACGAGGAAAAGAATGAATATACGATATAAATGATTACATTTTAATGGTAAAAGTATATTTTAGTTCAAAATTTAATTTGATTTTGATACTATTGCGTGCATCAATGTTAATTACAATTATCCAAACATGTCAAAAAAGACTGGCTACATATTAAAATGGAATTGTGCATATTACAATACAATGTTTGTATTTATTTGAATGCCGATTAAATTAATTTTCTTTTATTTCTATTTTTAATTATATTTCCAAAGAAAATATTTGTTTTCAGAAAAAAATTTAATTTGATGAGAACGCAGTTTTGCATATGAAATGTTATTAATGTTGTGTTAATCTACACACTATCAATCAGTCAGAAACAACGCCTGGGAAATCACTTTTACAATATTATTATGTAACATTGATCTCAGAACAAACTCGTTTGAATGAAATATTCACTTTAAACTTATTATTGTAGAATCAGAGAAATAAATATAGAGTATAGGTAAATGATAGTAAATATAAGATTAGAAGTATTTATATCTCTACAATAACTTATGATTATTTCAATGACGGTTAGTTGAAGACATGTAAATAGTCATACGATTTAACAACTATTATAGTTACATTAACAGTTCTAAATAAACTTACGATTTGTATGTTATACAATTATAGATATTTTGTATTTATATACGCTTGCCAAATATCAGTGTTTGTACAAATTTTAACATAACTTACCATGTTCAAAACGGTTATTTAAATAGTTTTTGTTTTATCTTTTATAAATTATATCAAAATAGGTTGAAATACTTACTTTCCATCTGTCAGAAAAACATATTCACCATGTCCATTAAAATCATATTTTCCTCCGTCTATTGTTTGTATGACAGGATCTCCTGATGAAATTGCTGAACATCAAATGATAAGTATATAAAACAGATACTCAGATTGCACATCATAATAATATTGCTTAGTACTGACACGGGACATAACAATTTTAAACGACCATTATATATCTGGAAACAAACTAAAAAGATGTAATTTATCTATATGTTTATTATTACTATTCTGATATTGACACATTATTCTCTTATCAAGAATGTTTCAAGGGACAAAACAAGACAAATAATCAATAACACTTCAAAATAAAGTACTCTTTCATTTCGATTCAAGAAAAACAGAACGACGGGCACACTTTATATCCTTGCACCTCATGTTCCTTTTTCATTATTAAAATAAATAGTTCATATTGCAATGGACTTGTTGATAAAAAGAGTTTTATGAAACGTATATACCAAGTACCGATGAAATAACAGAGAGACTTTTGTAATAAACTGTAATTCGCTTAAATATTTTTTCTTTGTTTTTTGAAATACGTATAATTCTAGTTTTCACTGAATATTTATCTTTAAACAAAACGAAAATACTTACAAATAACTGGCGGTTCGTAAAAACTACAATCATCAGGTGAATTTATTTGGTAGAACGATTCACAAGATTCTCTTAATGCATCTGATCCGTTTCCACAACAAAGGTCATGGGCTTGTTCAATGTAATCATCTCTTGTCTTGAGGCGGAGATAGCCTGCCCCTGGACCATCTACAAGTAGTTGGCCATTTTCGCTGCAAAAATATTTGACTTATAGTTTCTTATCAGTCTCTAACCAGTTATAACTGAGATCAGGGTCTTTCAAAAAGAACGGTCTGGAGTTGGACCAATTTTACGAATTTGTTTGAGTCACATAATTAGGATACGACCAGGATCTGGCAAAGTACATCCCCATTCAAAAATCAAATTATAAGATAATGTTTTGTTAAAGCAATCAAAAATACTGAAAACTAATCCTGGCTACATTACATTATCAGTGTTTACTTTAAAAGTAACATTTTAAAGGATTTGCAATGAGTTTTTCGTTCCCGGTGTCATGGTAAAAGTCTACTGCAGATATATTTGAAAATAGAACCGATTTTCATAAGCTTTTCTTAATTTATGCATTATTCGATGCTAAAATATAAATTGATTTTACAAAGAAAAAAATGTTATAGTATCATGTAAAATGTTTATAATACTTCACGAATAATATTTGATATTTAATTTAGTGTATTTACAAAATGGCGCAGTTTATCGGCAAATATTCTGAACATTATTTTCTAAAAATTTTATCCTTTATTCACAAGTTTAAAGATTTTTTAAGAACATCATGTCGTTAGAATTTTCATATTTGCTCTTGTATTTAATTTTCGCCCTTTCCTCGAACACTTACATAATTTGCGTATAGCGAACTATACTAAGTTATACCAAGACATGTTTAATTGTAGGGGAAGGGTTTACATAGCACGTTTCCAGACCATTCTATTTGAAAGACCCTGCTGAAATGTAATAACTTATCTTAAACCTAGGTCCGGAATGTAGCTTTATTTTTTTTTCATCATGAATTGAATGTGATGATACTTACCAACAAGGCGTAACATAGGTCTGAATCAACAGATACTCAATATATTATTTCCCTACGAGCAAATCATAGCATTAATATACGCACAAAAATATTTTTAAACAATATATTAAAGAACATTACCTGTAGCAACAAACTTGCTTAGCATCATCAGAAAAGAACCACTGTTTGTAACAATTATTCTTCTTTTCAAATGTGTCGTCAATTGCAATGATCTGCTCTATACAAGGACATGATTCTGCCCTCGCATGTGCTGTGTTGATGAGATCCCGCGTTTCGCTATCAGTTATAAATCCTTGACATGAAAGGGCATCTCCGGCAACTACTGAATTATATAAGGACTTTGTATAAATGATATTAAAGCTAAGGATTTCTATATTTGCAAACTTATGTATTATTAACGTAATATGCTCGTACACCATTTTTTTCTGCAAAATTGAGGTATCCGATCAATAATAAGTGCATCGGATGGATAATACGGTGTCATTAGTCCGTTCTTTGTGCGAAGCGTTATTTCTTCGTGACAATTGAACTCGGACATCGAGTCTTATGGTCATTTGTCCATCACCGCTTCAGAAATCATGTAGATAAGTAGTTTTTTTGTTTTTTTTTTCATTTGAAGCCTTTTCCTAACAGTATTTCAGTCATATAGGCGGGTAGTTTTCTAACCATCGTTCCTGGAGTCAGAGTTACACCAGTACTAGACTACCTTCCTCCGTGTTAAACTACCAAAGCATCTCCTGGGGATCGAACCCACGCCAGAGAGGTAACTGTATTAGAAGTCATCGACTCTAACCCCTCGACCACGTAGGCGGTAGATAAGTAGTTGGTTACTTGCAGAGGCATTGGGTATTTCCTAGGAAGATATCCAGGAAAACCGGTATAGTAGATTGACCGGCGAAATATGACTGAAATATGTGTTAAAATAGTAAAAAAAACAGAGCAAACAAGCAAACAAGCTGAAATGAGAGTATAATTATATAACAAAAATACTTCAATCAAGTTTTCAATTTAATCTATGTCAGTACAAACACAGAAGAAAACGCAATAATGACAACACGCATGTACATTTATTGTTCGTGTATTGTACCTGTTTTTTTTTTTAAGAATGTACTGTAAAATGACAATTATGGATAATACATTTACACACATTACGACATAATGCAATAGAAAACTATGACTAGAAATCTGTTGTACTATTTTAACACCTACTAAAGTATTATCTATCCGGAAAAAAACATCTGGTGTTGAATACATCTTTGATAAAAATTTAAGCGTAATGATATTAGTGCTTTAAAAAGGGGTTATTCCAAAAAAATAAAATGATTAAATTGAAATGATATTAAAGAAAACACTTTGATGGTTTTATTTAAAAAAACGTTTTAAAGGTAGATAAAAATTTAAAAAGGGGGCGGAAATTTTTAAAAAAATTCAAATTACAAAAATATTGAAAAAAAAAAACTTTCCCATGTGAATTTAAAAGTTGGGGCAAAACCCTTTTCACTCAATTTCTAATATCAGCTTGGGCCTTTAGCTTTAATGCAAAATTTAGATCCCCCGTCCAAAGTATTTATAAATGAAATTACCTTTTTCTCCCCCTGAAATTTTTGATTCCACAACAAAAGCTGAAAAAGTTAAAAATTTAAATTTAGATTAAAATTTTCCGGGGGTTTATACAAAAAAAAAAAAACATTGGGGGGGAAAAAAAAAAAAAAAAACCGTAAAAAGATAAACGGAAAAAAGGTTACTTATATTTATGCGTATCTGTATTTCGTATAAATAGAATCACTATAGAACTATATTCTTAACTTTGATATTCTACCACTTTTTTGTATTACATTATTTTACAAGCACATAGTTTTCTGAACTATGGACTGAAACCTTTGATTGCACAGTAACTTATGACGTTCGTTTCTTCTTTTTTTCTAAATATGGAGATTTAAACTTGATGTTAAGAGATAGTGCTATGATTACATTATTTTAAGTAGAAGAAAACACTTAAACTAAATGATACGATTAACAAAAGAGCACTTAAAAGTTTCAAAAAGAAGATAAGTCAAAGATATGACCATTATGACAAAACGTGTTTTAACTTAATCTTAGTCAGCAATATTCAACTCGACTATGTTTCAATCTCATTTACTAGTCGCTAACATCCGTGAAACAGGTTGTATGCAACAATTTTGCGACAATTGTACGTCAACATAATTATTCAATAACTTTTTAAGAGATATAGCAGTAAAGATTATAAAAACAAACACAGAGGCAAAGCCAATAGCATTGTGAGAAAACACGATTTAAATCCCCTATTAATTTAATTTGATAAACACTGGACGCATAAAATAAGGATACACATAGGAATGAGTCTCAAAACCCTTTCCTTTCCAATTTATGTGTCTAAATTTTGAACCGATTAAAATAGTTGAACCTATGTTACAATCATTAGCGGTCTCTGTCTGGCAAATTTTTTTATTGTCTTTCGATTGACAGTGGTTTGTCAGAACGCGTATTAAAGTATAGAGCAATTAACATGAGCGACCCAGTGTCATAAGAACTTTAATTGACATCTTTTGATCAGTCGTTAGAAAAGAAAATTATGCACTCAATTGTAGGGAAAATAGAATAATTATATTTTTCGCTAACCCTGATTTTTCGAACTATAAATCCTAAAACACTTTTAAATTATACATTGAGCTATCAATGAAAGAATTTATTAAGATAATACCGCTGACTGTACGAGGCGGCGAGGGAGATTTTGCATCCTAATCATTGTTTTTTGTGTACAAACACAATCAAATCGAGTCTGCACTTTTCACCTCAGTCTATCATTTTTACAGCTTTTGAGCAAATCAAACTGAATAATAAAATTGTACAACATTTTTTGAAGTGCATGTAGGATTTCTTACTAGAACATATCCACTGGGTAAACAGATTTTTTTGAATATATATATATATATATTTTTTTTTTTTTGGTGTGTTTTACAAATTGATTTTTTTTTCGAAATCAATGTCTGCTCCCCTTTCAAAATTTCATTTCGTTTTGTTCCAACCCCTTTTTTCCGTTTAGGAAACAAAGCATTCTTTTTAAAATTTTGGTGAAACCCCCACGTCGCTTTTTAAAAGGGAAAGAAATTTACGGGGGGTTTTCACATTGGGTTTTAGGTAATCGCCGTATGAAAAACCAATCTGCGGAGTTTTATTTCCAAATTTTTCCATTTTTTTTTTAAAAGTTGCATCTGGTTTTTAAACCGGTGCTACGGGGCATTTTTTGGTAAATTACCCTTTCCATTTAAACCTTTTCCCAACAGGGGCAAAACAAACCCCGGGCCCCGCAACAGTTTTTAATTTTGTCGTTTTGTTTTCGTTTTTTAGGGGAATTTCTTTGTTCACAATTTTTCTTTACATAAAAATGTTTACAGAAACCGGGTATTGCTTTTTAAAACCCTCGTCCCGCTTTAAAACCAAATAAATAAAATTTAAAATTTTAAAAAAACCAACTTAAGTGGTAATGTAGCCCAAGGGACAACTTTGAAAACTTGCAGCCATTTTTTTTTGTTGTACCCCTTTAAACATTTAACTGCTTCGGGGGACTTTTAAATTAAAGCAATAAAATTTTATTAAAATTAAAGCATTGGGGACTCACAGAGTAACTTAAAGTTATTTACTTGTACTTTCAAACCGATTATATCGCAATGCTGACAGGTATTGACGTAATTAATTTTTTTAACAGTCAGATATGAAGACTCTTAAATGATAATGCAAGTGTTGCACGACGATTTCTATTGGATAATCGTAACGCTTAAGTAATTTGAAGTTTTGCAACTGACAATCAAAACGATTTGAGATGTGTTTTTAAAAGGTTTTTTAAATATATATTTCTTTAAAGGATCAGGAAAATAAAGAATAAAACAAAACATGTAACAATCAAAGGGAGATAATCCTTTATCTAAAATACCTTTAAATATTCAACAAGTGACTTTTTTTCACTTGATTGACATTGATAAGTCGATTTGATTTTTGTCTATGTGTAGAAGTCTGATTTTTTCCGATTTCTATTTTCATAAAAACCTATATGAGTTTAGTTATTTCGATGAGTACATTTTACCATTTATAAGTCGAAGCCCTTACATTTCTTTAAATCTTTGATCTCTAGTTATTCTCTACACCTTTTGTCTGGCCGCGATAATGGTCACCGATCAACTTGAATGATAAGTGTTAACTACACAGCCGCTGGTTCTAACAATTCAAGTACGCTCAATAATTTGATCGTGACCACTCTAATTGTCACGATACGATTCGAAAATTTGTTTCATTACTTATCACCCAAACACCTGATGTCTGTAAAATAGCTTAATGTTCGCCAACTTCTTTTAAAAGTCGTTTGTAAACCTTGAGATCCCGTACTTTTGTAAATGAATTGAGCCCGATTATTAAGACGAAGTCCTGATGCCACAGAATTTTACATCCAAGTCTTATCAACTTCGATTGACCAAAGTCATACTCTACTAAAAAAAACTAGACTGGTCATCACTTAGTACCACTGTTATTGGTTCTGAACATTTCAAACATAATGGGGACTACGAGTGTATTACGTTAAACTGTTTCAGAAACCGGTCGAATGTCGAGAAAAGAACCTAAGTTTATCTATATAAGATCTATCAGAAAAGTCACATCATCAATATAAATGCACGTCAAATTCAGATAAAATGTAATCACGGAACATATTCATTTTTAAATTTTGAAATGTTTTCAATATTTTTGTCTGAATTCTGTGATATTTCAAAAAAGATAACAAAATGGTTTAAATTTGTTCAAAGCAAGGAGTTAAAATAAAGAGACCAAAACAATGATGATTAGGAATTATGTGATTTTTACAGAGTTAACAATAATTTAGCGTTGATTTCGGAAACTTTTGTTTATTTAAGTCAGTAACAAAATTATGCAAGACGTATCAAATGGTTTGATTTGATAAGGAAGCATAATGAATAGCATTTATAGTAACAAAAACAATCAAATATATTTCAAGTTCAAAATAAAAAAATCATGGAAACCCAGGCGCTTGACTTATCAATCTTATCACATATGATGTCATGTATAAATATAGTATTAGAAGTATAAGTAGTAATTATAGTAGAAGTAGTAGTTATAGTTGTTTGTTTGTTTGTTTTGGGTTTTACGTTTTATGCTGATAAGATGATCACAATGATGATGTAGACGATGGTGAAGGAAAGGGGGAGGAGGGAAATATTTTCAGTTAAGAAAATTCCAAATGAATGATGATAATGAGTAATATGGTGATGATGATAATGGTGATGATGATGATAGTGGTGATGACGATGATGATATCTATGATTTTACTGATGCTATAATGATTGCAATAATGATGAAGACACAATAATGAAGTGATTAATATATAATTATTACAATAACATGGGATGATGGTGATGATTATGATGATAATGATTATGATGATGTTGATGGTGATGAATTGGTGTTGAAAATAATGATGATCCTGATGTTTAGGATGATAATTATTATTTTTTTAATAGTGTTGACTATGACAACTATATTGATGTTTGAGATGGTTTTGAAAATGACGACAACGATGATGATGACGACGATGATGTGATATGAGGGGAAGAAAATGACAGTTGCTTTCAAATCATAAAATTTCCAAGTGATTGATTATAATGATGAATAGCGCGATGGTTGTGATGATGATGATGATTATTATTATGATGATTTTGTTGATGATTTTGTCTTTGACGATAACAATAATGATTATGCTAAAGTTAATAATGACGATGATGATAATAATTAGGATAATTGTTTTGACTCTTCGTTTTTTTGTCTACTTTTTCCACCAATTTGAAGACAATTTTGGCCATACTGTATCTCTGCACAATCTATCGAGCATTCTTTGAAAAAATAGTATCAACCAATGTCTCGGATAGTGATTAAAATTTATGCAACATGATATCATAGAGAACTATGCCATGACTATGTTATGGCCTTGCATTGGCAACAAAAAATAAATGACAAAATTTCAAATACTTAAGTATTTAAAACATTAAAATAATACAGTATGTGTGGCAATATCATTCGATAAGTATTTTCCATTTTAAGAAAAGTTTTCCATGGCAAAATTATGTAATAATATGCCACCTTTTTGCATTGGAACACTATTTTGGAAATTTGGGATGCATTTATACAAAACCAAACAATGAATTAGAAAAGAAACACATCAACTTTGACATCTGTTTAATATTGAAACATTAACAAATATTTTTCTTTTTTTTTGTTACTTTAGATTATCTTGTCTCCTTTGGTAATCCTTTATTATGCTGTTTTCAAATGTATGAAAAGATAACAGAAATAAATTAAGTGTAGTATGAAAACATAACAACAAACGAAAGAGAAAATGTACTTCAGTGTAAATTTTCACATAAAGATCAATCGATCATAAACCATTTGTAAATAAAGCAAAGATAACCATGTAAACTGAGTTAGTATGAGCCATTGTATATAATGCTATCACCTTTTTTGTTGACAAAATATTTTTTAATTCGTAAAAATAATTTGCCAAAATGTGTTATTTCATTTTGTGTATTTTTACTTCTTATATTTCGTGTCAACTGACATTATTATTTTATGTAAAGAGACATCAATTTGAGTAATTAGTGATAATTAGAATACTCTTTAAATGACAATAGGATAACCAAATGTATTTATTCCTCAAAAGTCATATAACATTGTTTTAAAGCAAACATTATTAAAAAGTAAATAAGAAGTACATGCTTTTTATTAAAGTTCCATTCAGTATGTGAAATTACATAATGAATAACCTCAGAAAACGATTAAGTCATTATCATTTGTATTAATATTAAAGTCAATAAGGATAAAACTTGTAGGCAGGAACAATATATGTTTGACGATGTCGACCTCAAACCTGAAGTAAAGAAGAAATTAATATCAAATAAATTAATAGAATATTGTTAAGTGCTTGAAAAAAATAAGCAAAATATTTTTTCTCGCTATCAATAACTACGATATATTGTATTCTTGCATTCAGATCGGTTATATGAGCTTTGTTGTACATTACTTTGCATAATTAACTGTAACGAAACAGCTATCAATCAGAAACAAAAACCATACAAACTTGGAATATTAAAAATGCAAAGCTGACTATTTAAACTAATTGTATGATTCTTTTAAACTGTTATATATTTAAGTTTGTATAATTTAAAGTAAACATGCTATTTTATTGATATTATACAGAAGTGTTAGCAGAATGTTCATGAATAGCCTTGCGTATAGTCTACAGCAGTGTGAACATATTGATCATGACTGCACTTGGCTATTATGAAATAATTAAGAAAATGAATAAACATGTTCAGTTACGCAAAGAATGAAAATTAATATGCAAAATATCATAACTGTCTTAATAGCAAAGAAAATTGTTGCTATCTAGCAACGTCAGTTTTAAAAGAATCAAAATGCATAAAGAACAAGCACCTCCTATAAACAATTAATATATTTATTTCTAAATTAGCAGCGATATTGCATTGTACATTATCTCTAATTCACTGAGTCAGTGATATAGACTGCCTAGTATAATTAACATTTTAATTGCTTATTTATTGTATTCAATTGATATCACCTTCACAATTATTTCAAATGATAGTAAAAATAGTAAAATAGTGATGACAGCTTCAATATCTTATTCCGCAAGAAAAAATCATGCACAAGACTAGACACATATACACATAGCAATGATAATAGTTTCGTGTGATAGGTTTCTATTATATTTATGATAATTCGTGTATATCTGAGTACACGTGCTTTTACTAATTTTTCTGCAAATGGCATTCTAGCGGTTATAACCTAAATCTCGATGGTAAAAGTATTATTTTAAAGAAATCATTATCATTTATAATATACTTATAGTGAAATTGTGATAAATATTGATGAAATAAAATGCAAATTTGTATTTTCCGTATTTCATTCAATGCAGTGCAACATATTTTCCCTATTTTCACAAAAGTCATTCCGAACTACTTTCTTCTTTATTCAGTCAATACACACAATTAAAGAAGTCCTGAGAATTGTTGGGTCAAAAATGTAAAAAAGTATTTATAAACAGAAAAGTTTTTTTTCTATAAATAAAGGACTTATTTTCATCTTGTGATATGAAAATTTCCATATTCATACCACTCGATAAAAATAAACGCTCTATTTATAGAAAATACTTGAATATCTTTTATATCTTTCAGCTTTTGTCGTTTGCGTCAAAAACATAATTATATTTACTTGTTTTTTCACAGATTCCACCAGATCGATAATATCCTTGGACACATTCACAACTATAGTTCCCAGGGGTGTTTACACACGTTTCGTTTCCACCATGACAGAGAGATTGATCGTGACTGCATTCATCAATATCTGTTTATTAAATAAACAAAAACAAAATTGTGCTAAGAATTAACTACGAAATAACAAATATCATACAGTAACGAATCTCAGCAAATCAGGTAGATCAGTTAGAGAAAGTGTTCTCGGCCAAAGGCTCCAGGTTAGTATTCTTAAAATTACATTTGTTTGAACCCGTTATATGCTATAAAAAATAAATATATATATATAAAATAAACGTTATCAATAAAACAGGATCAAACATCGTACCTTGGTTCAGGATGTACACTATGCTAGACATAAGTGAAAAAAGCAAAACCAAAGCGGTGATTTTGTTTTTTCTTTTTTTTTTTCTTTTTTTTTTCTGACGACAGTGTGTATAATATAACATGATTTATTTCTTGAGCAAAATGCTACAGCGGCCTTTAGTGCATTTATTTCTTAGGCACACAAAGACTTAGGCAGAAGAAGCACCGTCGTTCCGTAAGCTAGACGAGTGGCTTCCTGACAAAGAATCCGAAGTACGGGGTAAATTGCTTTAAATTTACGGTCATAGCCACTCGGCAACGAAGGGAAGGGCTTAATATAATTTTGATAGAGCTTGAGGCCCAAGCCATTTGCTTTTTTAATATACTTATCATTTTTACACTTTTAAGGTATCTATATACTGCAATCTCGGCAACGTATGTCCTGCTGAAAACTCTTTTCTTTGTATCATAAATTGATCGGTACAGGTTAATTCTAATTTGATATTTTTAGAAATTTCACTTGGATCCGGGGTTATTTATTGTTTATTTGAAGTAAATAATTAAATTAAATGGATTTATGACAAAATGAAAATTTATTTTGACTCTCACCTGTTCACTCACTACATACCTTAAGACGGGCATAATTTCACTTTAAAATCCTTCTTATGGCTGAAGATAATTCCCGGTAAATGATACAGTATATTTATATTCACAGCATATTTGGTTCAATTTGAAAATTATGACAGTGTCATGTTATAGTCATATGTTATCATTTATTTCATTACGATAATGAAAATGTTTAAGGCTTTAAGAAACTATGATTTTACAACATGTTTTATAAGCTCGCTGTTGTGAAAATTCATTGACAATCGATTTTTTGAATTTTACTAACCAAACAAACAAACTTAAAAAACAACAAAACATTAAGGGTTAATCAAACGGATACAAATATAGAATACGCTACAATTACAATTAACTATAATGTGATATATAGGTACCAGTGTAATCGCCGTTCAATAATGATTCTTATGATAAACGATTCACGAATGTTTTACTACAGTTGCATTGTCAAAGCATGTATCGGCTTACCATCACATGAGTGACCATCGCGATTTAATTCATATCAATTGGAGCAGCTACATTTAAACGATCCATCAGTATTAGTACAAGTCTGCTCTGGCAGCTCCAGAATAATCAAATAATTTTGAAATGTTGCAAAAGGTTGTCTGCATATTGTGTATTGCAATTGTTATCGATACTTACAGGCTAGCAATTTACTGCAATGCAGTTTGAGTGCTGGCAGGAAATTCAATGTCTTTTTTATACAAAGGTTAAAGCTACGGAATGAATATCATATTGCAAAAATGGATACAATCGTTTTACGTCCTTAGCATTATTTACTCTCTAAACATGGCTGTACATGATAAAAAGGAATGATAAACTAGAACGGTCTATCAGAAAAAAAAATACAACGACAACATACAACAAAATTCAGCAAAACAGTTTGAAAAGACGGAAATACCTATACATAAAATGCGAGTCCCATTTTGACTTTTCTGAGCTCTAAATCCTTCTAGGCAGGTACACGCCCATTTCCCCATAACGTTGTTACAGGTTCCATTACAATAGTACGAATTATTTTACACTCATCAATATCTTAAGGAAAATATTAAATCTGTTTTAACAAATATGTTAATCACATACCACATATTTAAACACACAAGTTCTTATAAGCTAGCTTTCTAATTTCAAGCTACAATGACCACAAATCTTGGATTTAGATCAACATTGTCAACGTAATGTATTTTGGGATAAATCACTTTGTAAAAACCGATGCTTGATTAAAAATAGATTGGAACGACTTTTTAACTTGAATATAGATAAGCGGGATAAGCAATTATTCGGGTAATTGTTTTTAAGTTAGTGAAATAAACCGAGATAAGAACAATTAACACGCGTATGACCATATTATTACGATCTCGGATTAACAGTAAGGCTTAGATAAAAATCTAGTTTCTTTCCAAGTTCACGCAGCGACTGAAATGTTCAAATAATATCCCAGTAACACGTACCATTTTGTGCATTTATTGACGCACAAACGACATCGTACATTTTTATCTAGCTAGATAGCGTTTTCCCATGACCTTAAGTCGGCCTTGGCAGAATTTAAATCCACAACGGTCTTAGCAAACAACCTCCGTAGGCTGTGGGATTTAAAACTTAAAATAATCAGGTGTGTTGTAGAGAGAAAAAACCTTCACAACTAATATTGAACTGTGAAAATAAAATACAGTAAAATGTACATGAATATGACATTGTATGAAATTCTTATCTATTCAATACATACTGTCACATTTGTCATACCTTCGCAAGTAACATTAAAAGTGTTGGTCGCATTTTCTGTATAACCCTCGTCACAGTTGCAAGAATAACCTTTGCCTTTTAACTCGTTTTTGCAAGTTCCATGCCCAGAACATTTACCACCAGTTTCAGCACATTTATCGACATCTTAAATAAACAAAATTATGTCAAAAACGTTATTTCTGTAAAGATGTATACAATACATGTTGTCCTTGCTTACTCATGTACTCAATAGAAACACATTCACACCTTTTTTACACGTGGTGGATTGAAATGTCTTCGAATCTCAAAAAGATTTTACTTACAAAGTTAACGTGTATCCAATGTTTTGGTTAAATTAGATTTTCTCAACCAAAGGGCATTTTTTGCAATTTTAATGGACAAACAAAAATTGGAAATATATCCCGATTGCGAAGTTCACTACTACACAGTTTGTTAGACAAAACTGTAATACAGGGTTAACAATGTTCTTTAGCTTATAAATAGATAAATATAAAGATATAGTTTCGCCTCGATCAAATTCATTTTAATACTTATAAGTATACATAACATCATATTCACTAGCTATAGGGTTTTTTTAGTATAATATCTTGGCAAATATAGGATAAAATTATTGTCACAATCAAGCCAAAAAACTTATTTGTAGGGTTATATTTTATGGGAAACAATTTGTAAAGAAGTCATTAAATATCTGGAAAAACGCAATCCCTCGGAAGAATTAAAAATAATTTTTTATACCCATCAATCATGATAACAAACCTTCACATTCGAAAGTATTGATGTCATAATAAACAGGTGATAATCCTTTTTCACAAGTACATTCCCATTTCTGTGTGTCACTTCGACATGTCCTGGTTCCGTTTATACATTCAAAATTAATATTCTTATTCTTATATTCCTTATATTCACAAACAGACACATCTGAAATTAAAAGGTAATTTATATAACGTAAAATATCCTTTCATAGAATAGTTGTTTGTAATTATTGTCAATATTGTTTTCAATATTGAAATAAAATATATTTCTTTTTAAATGCTACCTAAACAACATTATTATTGATGATATAACTTATTTGTTTAATGTTAATCAACTGCTAAACTATTTTTTTAAAGAAATTTGAAAATATGAAATGATTGAATTTGAAAACGCAAAGAAATGAACATTATTCTAGAGTAGAATTAAAACCTTTTTAATTTTTCCTATAGCTATAATATGATTATTAATAAGCTTTATTCTAGTATCTTTATCATAATGTCACGGAACATTTTATCTTCGCATGTTCGTTTCAAAATAAAATGATAACTACATTAAGTACTAATAATGATTAATTAAGAGTAAAGATAAACACACGAAAGTATTAATATGATTGAGAAATATGAAAGTTATAATTTTAATGTAAGTATATTTTGCATATTTAAGTAATTAAGAGTGATACATTTTTGTTTGTTTGCTTATAAAGCAGCATGAAATCAATGAAAATAGAAACAAATGGCTAGTCTTCATACATTACAAAAACAACAAACTATGAACGTAAAGTTGTATACCATTTAAAATTTTGAAATTTGATTATGACAAAACAAACTCCTGCTGAACAGGGAGGTGCTTAACCTTTAATCAAGAGCTATTGTATCATTTAGTTGATCAAAAAACACATAAAAAAATGCAAAAATCTTACCTTTACATGAAAATTGTTTTTTGTCATTTGAATCCGGGATCGAATTATCATTTTTACATTTACATGACCAGTTGCCGTAACTGTTAACACACGTTTCGTTATTGCATGTTTCTATTTCACACTCATCTATGTCTGAATAATAAAATGTTGGACATATATAAATGCTGTTTTCCCTGCATGTATCTTCATTTCTTTTTATGTTTTACGGTTTCCGTTTGAATTTGTTCGTTTTTATGCCCCCACAATGTGGGAGCATATAGCGTTGCACTTGTCCGTCCGTCAGTCCGTCCGTACGTCCCGAAATCTTGTGAACGCAACTCCTCTTAAACCGGATGGCATATTTTGCTTAAACTTACAGGGATGAACAACCTTAATGTGTAGATGGTAGTAAAGGAAGGAATTTTCGCTGCGACCAAATTTAACAGAATTATGGCCCTTTGTTGATTTTTTCACTAGATACTATGTAGAAATTTTGTGAACGCAACTCCTCTTAAACCGCATGGCAGATTTTGCTTAAACTTACAGGGATGAACAACCTTAATGTGTAGATGTTAGTAAAGGAAGGAATTATTGCTGCGACCAAATTTAACAGAATTATGGCCCTTTGTTGATTTTTTCACTATATACTATGTAGAAATTTTGTGAACGCAACTCCTCTTAAACCGCATGGCAGATTTTGCTTAAACTTACAGGGATGAACAACCTTAATGTGAAGATGGCAGTAAAGGAAGGAATTTTCCTGCGAACAATTTTACAGAATTATGGCCCTTTGTTGATTTTTCACTATATACTACAAAGAAATTTTGTGAATGCAACTCCTCTTAAACCGGATGGCAGATTTTGCTTAAACTTCCAAGGATGAACAACCTTTATGTGTAGATGGCACTAAAGGAAGGAATTTTCCACTGCGAAAAATATACTGATATACGGGAATATACGGTCCCGTATTTTTGACATGTACGGGCGTGTACGGGATGTATTCGTCGAATATACGGACCAAATATACGAGTCCGTATAGGGAACACTGGGTATACGGGAAGTCCGTATATGCATCAGGCATATACGGAATTCCGTATTTGCCCCATATACATGTACGTATATTTGTTCGTACTTTTGAAGCATACGGAGAATAAAATCCCGTATACGGACTATATTAAGGTTGCTATCCCTAGTATACTATAAATATACCAAGGATATACGGGACCGTATTTTCTACAC